TGGTGGTGACCCCCGCGGGCTTTCCCCCCCTGCCGCTGGCTTCTTCAGCCTCGGCTCTGCCGTAAATCTCGTCAGTACGCGCTGCTCCCTGTCACCCCTTCGATTACACGGCAAATCGCTGTCTGCCCGCGGCGGTTTCTAGTCGTAGGATGAATTTGAATGTTACACCCTCTCCAGCGGCCCCCCTTCCCTTTCTCTCAGGCCTGGGATGCCCAGCCTTTTGGCGCGGGTGGCTCCCGTGGCCGCGGCCGGGTGCCGTAAATCTCGTCAGTACGCGCTGCTCCCTGTCACCCCTTCGATTACACGGCAAATCGCTGTCTGCCCGCGGCGGTTTCTAGTCGTAGGATGAATTTGAATGTTACACCCTCTCCAGCGGCCCCCCTTCCCTTTCTCTCAGGCCTGGGATGCCCAGCCTTTTGGCGCGGGTGGCTCCCGTGGCCGCGGCCGGGGGCATTTGCGTTCACCGGTAACCTCTGCAGCCGCAGGCTGAAGGATCCTGTCGGCCTCCGCGGAGGATGCTTTTTCGGTCTGTGTGTTCCAGCCTGCGTCCTGTGTGCCTCAGTTGGACTTCGATTCCTCCTCCTTCTCCTCTTTCTCCTCTCATGTTTTTATTTTTTTTTACCTGTATTGTTTTGAGGTGAAAAAAAAAATCACCCATAAGAACAGGGCCGGTTACTGTGAGGCCTTCAGAAGCTGACAAATTGCATCTTTGTGGTTGAACAAAAAAATGCTGAGGTGTCACTGCGTATACGAATGATCAAAGAGTTTCAGAGCAGGTGGAATGACACAGCAAATTACCGTCAGCCCTGTCTGAAGATTTTGGAATATCTTAAAGGAGTACTGCCAGATTAAACAATTTTCTAACTTTCTTTGTAGCAGGGAACTTCTAAGATTATGTGGTTATGGTTTTCTGTCCTGTTGAATAGCACGGATTTTAGTCCATGTAACGTCCTTCTGTGGTGTTAGTATCTCAGATTTATAGGGCTGTTTTGTAGAAACAGGAAAGAAAAAAAAATCTAAATATGTGGATCTACATATCTTTGGATCTACATAGTACCTGAAATAGTTTAATTTTTCTTTAGGTATTAAGTCAGTCACTGCCTTTTGAAACACTCTTCCATCTTCTGATTAAAATAGTTAGTTCCTCCATTCTTAGGCTAACTTGATAGTGAAAGTGTGTTTTTGTGATACAATTGCTGTCCAGTTACCCTCCCACGATTATTTGGGCTGTAGGTCTACACAGATTTGCTGACTGAAGCAGCATACTTCCCTCTTTCACAGCTATTTCCCTCTCACCTTCACCTCCCTGTCTGGACAGTGGTGCTCTCAGCCATGTGGACAACCCAGATCACAGAGTTATTCCACATAAAAACTAAGTTCTGTTTCCACCCCAGATCATTTTTTTAGTCTGAATTACTGCAGTTCTGCATGCTTTGTGATTGCATTGGGGCTGCAACAGCATTGCTGCTGAACATAAAACTTCAGCGTCATGCTTATTTGAAATGGAAAAAGGAGGTCCCTTTACATTTTAAGTTCACATGAATTGAAGCTACTGGAGGTGAACCTGCTCCTGGCCGTTCCTCATGGCAATGGTAGCATTTTTGGGACAATGCGATAGGCTTGTTTAAGAAGCTGATCAACCTGAAAACTGATTTTTTTAATCTCTTACCCCATTTCTCCTGATGCACATGTTGATTTTCAGTAGAGGAGCTGCTTGAACTGTGTGACCCCATGTTCCTTCTAGCACTCAACTTGGCTCAGTGGATGAGGCAGTGGGAACAGCTGTCTTGGCCCTTTTTAGTCCAGTTATCCAGCACGAGCTGCCTGAGAACCATATCTCAAGTAGTACTAGAAATGCTAACCAAGACTTAGCTGAATAGATCGAATATAAACTAATCTTTAAATATGAACTTCAAGGCCCTGTTAAACTTGAAGTACTTTTAGGTGTTTATCACTCTCGAAAGGTATTCTGTTTCTTAGGAAGCTTGCTGTAGGCTTTAGTTATTTAATTTCAATATTGGTTTAAATGGCTGTACCAGAAAAGTAGCTTACTGCACCAACATACATGTATCGTGCTTAGCTTTATATGTTGCTGTAACAGAAGTACAATTCAGTGAGACAAGAATACATTTGCTTATGGGGAAAAATCAAGAGGTAAGAGGGAAAAATATCAACTTTTCTGGTTTGATACTAAAACCCAGACTAGACAGTAGTAAAAATCTCTACTGATTTTGCATAGACTGATTTTAGTCAGGTCTTTCCTATTGGATCTGATAGAGTATTGGAGATAAAGTCTGGATTTGGTACAATTTTCAGAATGTGCGAAAGTTACTTAATCTGCTGTAGGCTTGCTGCAGGACAGTGCAAAATTTTTTTTCTTCCTATAAAAAAGAACTTAATTCTTCTGATTTCTGATGGCTTTTTCAGGTGCATATATTAAATATAATAGGAGGAATGTGCAGTGCAATCTTATGAAAAAATATAGTTATCAGTTACTCAGGTTGCTTTGCGTTTCAATTACCTCTTTTCATCTCTAAACCCTTCAGATGTTCGTTCTGAGCAGCAGTATCAGCAGCAGAAGTTTTCAAATCAGTCACCCGGCCCTTCTTACAAGAAAGAGCAGTATTTTCCAAAAGGGCAAAATAGAGGAGAGAGAGGCAGAGGAAGAGGAGGATGGCAAGGAGGACGCCAGAGTGTTTCTGAGGAAATGCCAAAATACATAACAGGTTTGTATATAAGAAAAAGGTCATAATTTATATGTCCAGGGCAACTTGCTGGTAATTAAGTTTGCTGTGTTTGTTTGGTTTTGAGCAAGAGCAAAAATTAGAACTGATTTTATATTCTTCTGTTTTTCCTAATTTTCTCCAAAATAAAGAAGTAGTTGTGTACTGGAATGAATGACCAGCTGTTTTTCAATGAGCCCTTTCAGACTTCTGAGTTGAAAAACTGCACTTCCTTGTAAGGAGGGATATGCGTTTTCGTTTCTGTGTGCCAGCAATATTAGTACAGACAGTCATCTGCATTTAATGTAGCTAATGAAACTGGTTTTGCCCATGATGTGAGTTCAAGACAACTTTTCATCTAACAGAATGTTTATTTAGGAGAGCATGTTAGCTTTTCAAAATGTGGCGCTTCCATAAGCATAAAACAAGACCAACCTCTAGATTTTTGATTCGATCATTTTAAAACAGTCTGTAATACGTTTACTGCTTCTTTTTTTTTCCATGCTGAAGTTTTTTTCATCTCTCTGAACGCTTCTGAAGAGATTGCTGGTGTAATTTAATACAGAAATACTTAATGCAAATAGGACTTGTCAGTTATACTGCAGCTTTCACATTTGTTCATATATAAGTATTTGCTTAACCATATCTCTAAGCTTCAGAATATCTAGAGAATTGAAATTTCTTCAATAGTAGTATACAGTATTTACTTTTATCTCAAGAAGTCATTAGACTAATGTAACAGAAATACTCTGCTGGAATTCAGTAATTTATGTACAGTGTCCCTGCTTTGATTTTTGCTATTTGTCATGCTCTGATGCAGTTTTTTTTATTCCAGTGTCTACCTTTGCTCAAGCTCGTGCTGCTGAGATGAATGCCATGTTGAAAGCAGTTGCGCAGAAGTCTTCAAACTCCCTTGTTTTCCAGACTCTACCTAGGCACATGCGGAGGCGAGCTATGAGTCACAATATTAAGCGCCTACCCAGGCGGCTCCAAGAGATTGCTAGGAAAGAGGTATAAGTGTGTTTTATAGCATTTGATAAACTATGTAGTGGGCATAGCTAACGCACAGTGTTTAGCTGTAAGTTCATTAATGTTCAGACCTGAGCTTATGTGAAAAACTTCCCTGCATACACAGTTTCTCAAACTTTGGCTGATGTTTGAATTCAAAATGCAGGAACACCTCAATTTTAGATGGTAGCTCAAGTAGATCTCACTAACCACTTGGCTTTGTGATCATTGGACTTCTTGAAAAGTCATTAGAGTAGTGTTGATAAAAGGGTCCATGGCAGGAGAGGTGGTTCAGGTGGTGTGTTGGTCCGAGGTGATCCAGGAGTCCAAACTAATGCCTGTCTGTCTTGCACCCCACCACAGCTGTAGAGTGTGACCCTGCCAGCCTCCGGCCAGCACTGCCTGTTCATGACCGGTGCCATGGTTCATGTGTTATAGCTCAAACGTGGGAGGTATGCGGGAATTGTTGGCAGGCTGTGTGCAGCTTAAGACCGACTAATTGGCTGTTCCTAATTGCTCATGAAACTCTCTCGTTTTGTGGTGGTGTCTCAATGTTTAGTCAGAATGCTCCTGTGGAGTTACTTGCTCCTTACCTGCTGTGGCCTTCCTGTGTGTTTTAAAAAAAATAGATAAAAAAATTGATAAAAAAATGGTCTGTCTGACATTTGGCATTGATCACTTTATCGTCTCTAGACACTTCTTAAAATGATCAAGTGAGTTTGCTTGGTAAGTTTTCTATGTGTTAAGGCTGACTGATTAGCATATTTCTTGCATTCCTTTTTTTCCCTTGCGTTGTCTTTTTTGAAGTTCTTTGAGACCTTACCCCCTCCACCCTGAGTTCCTGGAGATAATTGTTCATGATTCAGAAATTGCTTTGTGTACTTCCACACATGTTCCTTAGGGCGTGTTTTACTAGATCTTCATAACCCGTATCTCTTCTTTGACCGCTCTGGTTGGCATTCTTTTTGCTTTGTTATTCATGACGAGGTGTAATTTGGCCTGTTTTCTGAGAAATTAAGGAAGAAGACATGAGCTATTTTGCGTAGTGAGTTATGCACTCTATCCTTGTTAAATAATCTAGATTTCTTTTATGCTTGTACTTGGTTCTTTTGTGTCCTACTGTTTTAGCTCCTTTCACATGATAGCCTTTCTAACTTCTCTGTACATGCTCACACTTATTCTCCCATCTTTGTTTCCACTCCTTGTATGATTCTTGGATTCTTGAGCTTATTTAAGTGTTGCTGGTGTAACTATATTTCTTCTGCTATGTTTTCTCTTCTCAGGTCTTTTGGTGTAGTTCGTGTGTTTGCACAGGCTGTTTTGTTTCATGTTTTCTTGCAGCTTGTCATATCCCCTGAGCTATTTCCTTTTGTAAAGGTTCTGTCCATTACTTTTCAGTGTTTGAAGTCTGCTTCTTCGAAGTTAACTGTTCCAATTCTGCTGCATTTTCGTCCTTTTTCTTAGATCCTTTATAATGACCATTTTAGTGGTCATTATAAATGTTTTACCAAACATTTACCTGGACCGTCTCTTATCTCTTCATAAGCTTAAAAACATGTATTTTTTATCTACAATATCTTATCTCTTTTTCTTCAGTTATCTTTCTGGACCAATCAGTCACATACCATTGATCCAATGGCTCATCTCTGTGGTGGAAAGATGTGTCTGATGGGAACAGATTTTTTTTTTGTGCCTTTCTATTTTGATATCATGGGTTGCTTCAGTGTTTTCTGTGCTCTTGGCAGTGATCTTCTAGCATTCTCATTCATTTGCTGTTCTTACAACCAGTGGTCTGTTGTCAGCTATTCCTTGGTGAGCTTACAAAGGACATCCTAAGATATTTTGTGTGTGTGTGTCTTATTTTCTTTCTACCACTTCTCTTCACAAAAAGACAAATCAAACATTGATGGAGAGAGTCAAGCCTTCCTCTCCAACAGTGCGTTCACCCATAATAATTCAGACTTTGGCCAGGTATTTATCAAGAATTTGATCAAAATATCACCACAGTCCTTTCTTCTTCACTTCTACACATTGTAGAATTCTTAGGGCCCTACCTAGCAGCCTGAGAGTCCATGCTGCTTCTGTACAAGCTCAAATCTCCAGGTGTTCCTAATGTGACATTAATTTGTTCATTTGGATATATTGATGTTGGGCAAAAAACTTCACACAGAAAGTAGCAGATCTTACTGTTCACTGGTAAGTTTCTGAATGTGTGAGGATTTTGGTTGATCTGTGGGTTCCAGTCAAACCTCGATGCAGTTGTGTGAATTTGGCTTGTGTATAAAGTTTCAAAGCATTAGTTAACCTCAAGAATTGTGGAGAACCAGCGTCAGAATAAGGTGTAACTTAATGTTAGTGCTTCCTGTATCCATATAACGTCAGCCTTTTTCTTCCACAGAAGTTTGTCCTTTTGATATTTCCTTCAATATCTTTTCTTTTAAAAACAGGCAGAGAAAGCTGTACATCAGAAGAAAGAACAGTCGAAGACTAAATGTCGCAAAGCTAGAAGGCGCCACATAAATTTGGTAGCAGAGTTTAATCGCAGGCAAAGAAAGAATATTTGGCTGGAAACGCATATTTGGCATGCAAAGAGATTTCATATGGTAAAGAAATGGGGATACTGTTTGGGAAATAGCCCTACGGAGAAGAGCTACAGGGCTTGTTACCGAGCCATGACGAAACACTGCCTTCTTCAGGTACCACATTTACATCTGTTTTCTTTGTTATTTTGCCAAGGTGAAGTAATCAGCTGTTCAGTTGTAATGATATTTCTATCACTTTGAAGTACTGTTGTCAGCTGTTAATAACTGCTAAGTATGAAATGAGTGATTTTGTAGGTGTAAGGAAGGGTGGCAAATACCGGAGAGAACAAGCTGAACCTTTAGAAGAGTCTTATTGTAATTATGACTGAAATACTACATACTCAGTCTTCTCAAAAGCTAAGAGATTAACTGAATCTCTGTATCGTCTTCCTGAGCAGGATGCTGTTGAAGACAGATGCTTTGTTCCATGTCCTTTTTGGTCTGTTGGTTTGAGAGGCAGGTTGACCCTCAAATGAGAAATAGTTGACTGCTGTCCTATAACTAACAGTTTTAAGTTCAAGAAGAAAACTCATTTCTCTTTGACACAAATTTTAGTGAATGAAAAATTACTACTTCAATGTAAATTGTGAAGCCTCTGTCTGGTCCTTCCTTGCCAGGCTCGCTTTCAAGAGTTATTCTCACTTTACCACTATGCTGTTATTTTAGGACTTATCATATTATTGTTGCCTGGAGTTGACTGGGAAAGAGAACGCACTTCTGAAGCAACTTGCTCGAATATGTAGCATTGACACAGGTAAAAATTATGTAGTTCGAAGTAAAGTTAAGATTCTGGATAGTCTAAAGGATGACTCATTGTTTTACTTTTTTAATATCCTACCAATCTCAGTTGTAGTAACAGACTCGATACGGAGTTGTGATTTTGGTTGAAAAACATCATTAAAATGTCTCATACTAGGACTACACATTCTTATTTTCTGTTGCTTATTAATAAACTAATTGTAGTACATGTTCTTTCTTTGATACTATCCCAGCAGCCAGACCGAATGTCAGTTTTTTTCTTTTTTAAACAAGAGATTATTGTGTTTTTCAGTAAGTATCATCTTCTTTAGGATTAACGTTTGAAGAGGCTTGTTGTCTGTCTGGAAGATTTGAGGGTTACCTGAATCTTTACCGAGCAGATCGCTATCCTGAGGATATGCTTGGTCCCGTTACATTTATTTGGAAACCCAGGGATGGGTCTGAAAACAGGCAGTTGTGGATCTGGATGCATCCAGCTCTCAAACAGGTATTTTTTTCTTTATATTTGAACTCTAATTTCTTTATGCATTTTACGTTTTTAATGCTGAAGATACCTTCTGGAAGGTGTAGAAGAGCTGGATATAATACATGGCTTTAGGATTTGAAAGTTGGGAGACTGTTTCTGCTCTAACAATATTGATGTTCTGCAGCTTGTTTTTATAAAGCTTGTACAGAAGGTCCATGCCTCTGAGGTTTTTTAGTGTTTGAGCTCGTTAAAAGTTTTGTAGTGTCACTTGCTTCAGGATACATTTGCAGTAGGAAGTTGCTTGATTCACATCCTTCCCACTGGCACTCCAAACAGGCTAAGTTGGATCTCATGACAGAGAATTATAATCTCATACTTGGCTATGAACTTCAAAAAAAATAAAAACAAGTAAAATTTTGATCACCAGCAAGTTTCCTTATATTAATTTGAGTGAGAATAAATTCTTAGCAGCATTCAGTATTACTTTCAGCTCTTGATAGCAAGCCCCGGCCTTCAGCAGCATGAAGTTTATTCCCTTAAATCCATATAGGAAAATAAAACAAAAGAGTGTAGCTCTTAAAATTGTACTTAAGCTTTGCAGTGCACTGCATGTCATCCTAACCCAAACTTTTTATTTTTGTTAAGGACATACTGAGAGAGTTAAAAGCCATTTTTCAGTGTTCAGAGCCTGAAGAAATCTATGTTCCTGAGCCTGTTACAATATCAATTCAAGAGGAAAAACAAATAGATGTTGTTCTGAGCCTTGGCAAGAAAAGAAAGAAGGAGGATAAAGAAGGAGAAAAAGCTGTGCCAGTGAAAAAAATAATTGGTGATGGCACTAGAGATCCATTCCAGTCCTACTCTTGGATTTCACAGGCTACTGGCATTGTGATCAGGTTTGTTCATAGCAGTCAGAAACTGTGACCCTAACCCATTAATATAGCTGAATGCTGGCTTAGCAGTACTGAGTAAAAAAAATTCTGTGTTGTGTGATTGTATATTCACCTGAAGTTTTCCCATTTCAGTGATAGAACTATGGAGATTCTCAGATATCGGCTGATTGGCCCATTATCACACTCGGTCCTTACAGAGACCTTGAAAGCTGCTTCTCTCCAAACAGTAAGGAAATTGGCAATTTGGATATTACTGTCATTTTGATGAGGTATCGAGAATGTGCAAGTTTGATTTTGCTAGAAAGAATCATAAACTATCTAGCCTTACTTATAATAAAGGCTAACTTCTGTGTTTCTACTCTATTAGCTTCTCTATATTGAGCCTCTTGACTAACCCTGATCTCAGGAAGAACTCCTATCTGGATTTTAAGTGAGGGTAGGAAGAAAATAAAAGGAACTGTGCTGTTGAGCAGACCATGTAGTTTCTGCTGTAGTGATGTATTGTGCTGAGAGGTCCAGAATAATTCGTATTCTCTTTGACAAATCGTATGTCATGTTTCTCAAGCAATGAGCTAGAGCACCTAGAGCTAAAGGGCAAGACATGTAAGGTATAGAAAACTTTTGTGTTTTCAGTCAAATATGAAATTTCATAAGGATTTAATACCTCTTGGCACATAGCATTGCTGTGGTTTTAATGTGGTTGTTTTGCTTCTTGCAGCAGACATGACGAGACCATGAAATCTCTGGCTTTCTGTAAGAAATAATTAACGACAGAATTAGGAAGCATTGTGGATTGCTTTGTTTATTTTTGGAACACAGGTTAAACTGAAAAGTTTGTTGGGGATTACTGTAAGGTGGAGTATAGGAATAGACTGCATCAGTAAAAAATTATTTTGATTTGAAGCTTGAAGAGGAAGAAAGCAACCATAGTGGTTAAGGCAAACTGAGGGTGAATTCATGGTGATAGAAAATACTGAATAACCACTTGAGTTTAATTAGGTGTGTTGTTTTCTAGGAGATGGATTCAGAAACAGAACTGAATAACTGGTGGGTAGAAAACTGCAAGGACTCTGAAAAAGTATCTCTTCATCAGCGTCAAAGTGCTATCTTTGAGCTATTAGAAGGTATTTGGGCATGTAGGCACTACGGGAGGAAGGGGAAACTCTTAAACTCTAGTAGTCCAAACTGACATGCTATGAAGTTGACTTAAATTTGGAAATGCTTATTTTTCACTTGATCAAGAGAGTGATGCCATTGAGTGTGTGCTTTAGGTATTTACTGTGGCATGTCAAAGATTTGAGAAATGTCAGATTAATTTTTTTTTAAGGGGAATTTTAATCGTCTGTCTAGCTCAAACTTTTAATCGATAAACTGAATCTTTTTTCTTATCTTCATGAACTTAGATTTGAGATTGCTAGTGGGATATGCAGTCTGACGTATACTCTCAGTCTCCCCCCATATGTACTAAATTAAGGCAATAAGTTGTACAATACCTCCACAGATAAAATGGTAGGCTCCTACCCAAAGCGAAAGTATTATACCTTGCTTTCTATGTTTTTGTTTCTAATGAACAGTTGTATATGTGGCTGAGTTGTTATCATGAAGTTAACAACATCTCACTTTCTAGCACTGGAGCAGGTAAGGAACTGGCTCTGGTAGATCTCACACTATACTTGAGCTATCCAATGTGAGCCGGTTAAGCAGAGATGAGGTAAAACTTTTAGAAAACATTCTTTTAATTTCCTTTCTCTGGAAGACAAGTATAAACCAAAGGTTGTTTGTTCTTTAAGAGATGTGCCAAATACAAAGGATGAATTGAGTCTATACATTGTGGGAATGACTTCACTTCTATGCTAAGCATAAATGTAATCACAAACTAAGTCTTATGCTGCTATTGTTATTTTTTGTTATTCGACATTTACCAAGTGTTCGTGAGCTATCAAAACATGTTAAACTGAGTACTTTGGGTTGCTTCTCTGACTTACAGTGGTGTCGCATCTCTGCAGGCAAAAATGCACAAAATAGTGCAGAAAAAGGTCACAACTTAATTGGTGGTTTCATGGCAATGTTCATCTGTGTATTTTTAAAGGGATAAGTTCACCATCAGAAATGCCACCAGGTACAATACTGGGCCTCACTGTTGGAGATCCTCGAGTCAATTTGCCAAAAAAGAAGACAAAAGCCGTGCCAGACTTTGAAAAATACCAAGGTAAAATGCTTTGCTTATGTTATGCTTCTCGTGGAACTGCCAAACGCAAGAGATGCCGTTTCTCTCTACGCTTTTATTTTCATTTCTGTCATCTTCTACTGATTGTCTCTTGCTGTTTTCCTCTAGTATTCGATTTCAGAATGTTTCCCTCCCCTTTTCACAGCCCCTGGCAGAACAGAAACAGCTTGAAAGTTGGATAGGTTTTCAAATAGCAATTGTGAGGGAGGGACATGCACCAAAGCTGGTCTTGTGCTCAGTGGAAGCCTCTGTCTGACCATACAGATGATCCAGGTTCGAATCCTGGCAAGGCCAACCAGGTGCTAAAAGCTACTTAGTAAGTTTCTGTTTGATGTTTAGTCCTCCTGATGCTGTTCATCTCTCCAAGAAGTCTGCCGTTTCCAATGTGTAGTCCTACAATGATGAAAGTTGCAATTCCATGAAAAAAAAAAAAATTGCTATTGCAAGATTAGCATTTCAGATGGCCAAGGTGCTGGTTGTGTTAAAAAAAATTGGAAGCATGCGTGAATTCTGAAACTTTCATTTCAATGCTGACTTACACAGCAGTTCAGTGCAAAATTCAAATTCAGTTGGATTTGAATATCCTTAAAAAACATGCATATACAGTAGAGTTTGTGTACAGTACTGTGTGTTTCCAGTTAGGTTGACTAGACACAGACTGCCTTGTCTAATATGAGAAACATAATAGCCAGCTAGCAAGCAGTAGCAAATAGGACAAGTTCAAGGTCTCAGAGACTCGCAAATAGTTCATTCCCTTGGTGGTGTGTTTGCAAGAAGCTGGAATAATATAGTCTTTCACTTAAATCAGGTCAAACACCTGTTTCAGTTACTTCTTTTAGCTCGCTGCACAACTCTGTTATTTAGATTTTCTTACATCCTCCTATTCTACCCTCTGTATCTAGAACAGCCTTTCTCTTGTTAATTATTCTGCTCAGCTAACTTTCTTATCACTGATGTTCCTGTTGGAAATGCTGCAGCATACATGACCTGAATTTTGGTTCCTT